ACTGCCTAGTAAGAGTCATTTCAGGAAACACTCACACTCCTTAGTACCCAGTCAATGACCCTATAATTAGTCCTTGAGCCACATACACCTTTCTTTTCTTGCGCAAAGCACCAGCTAGTGTAGTCTTAAAATTATAAACTCATAAGAGTGTCCTAACAATGAGGACAATTAACCAGTGGAACAGCTTGCCCTTAGAAATCGTGGGTGCTCCATCACTGGAGGTTTTTAAGAAGAGACTGGACACTCACTTGTCTGAGATGGTATAGGTTCTCCTTCTTGAGCAAGGGGCTGGACTAGAAGACCTCCAAGATCCCTTCCAGCTCTATTCTATTCTAAGAGTGATATAGAACAATCAGCCAATGTGACAGAATGAACCATATCTTGTGGGCATGAAATGGACTTCAACAAATGTCTATAGGAATAAATGGACTTCAAATGTCTATAGGAATAAAATGGATATCAATAACCAATGAGAAATAGCAAGAAAGTGGGAAGAGGAGAATATTTAAATTGGTAAGTCATTATATGATTGGACCCAACCTATAAACCTATCCTCTTTCTAGGATGCATTATTTCACCCTAGAGGTAACAGAAATAAGGTTTCCTTCTTATAATTTTAGGGAGTGGCAGAAGAGTATTAAAGGTGATCCCCAGATTATTTGGAGCCTAAGTAATTTTGACTGCTAACCACCAACCCACTGTACTGTAACCAGAAGCATACTAGCAACCAATACAGATATTGCAGAATACAGAATAACAGAATTGGAAGTGACCTTGGAGATCTTCTAGTCCAACCCTTTGCTCAAGCAGGACACCCCATATCATTCCAGGCAAATCACTGTCCAATCTCTTCTTAAAAACTTGCGTGATGGAGCACCCGCAACTTCCAGAGGACAACCGTTTCACTGATTGTTCTCACTGACAGGAGATTTCTCCTTAATTCTAAGTTGGATCTCTCTTTGTTAAACTTCTATCCATTACTTCTTATCTTGCCCTCAGTTGGAGAATAGGTTGACCCCCCCCCCACTTCCTTTCTGAGACAACCCTTCAAATATTGGAAGATTGCTATCATGTCACTCTTAATCCTTCTCTTCGTTAGACTAGACATTCTCAGTTCCAACAACTGTTCACTCAACCTATATGTAGGTTGCATATACCGGTAGTATGGTTCAAAGATCTAGTACAGTGGTTCTCAACCTGTGGGTTGGGACCCCATTTGGGGTCGAACGACCATTTCACAGGGGTCGCCAAACAATGCAGTCCACCATTTTTTCCCCTTTTCCTTAGCTGTGCTACTCCCTTTTATTCTATTGGCTTTTGAAAGCCAATAGAATAGACTCTCTTGAATAGAGTCTAATTCTATTGGCTTTCAAAAGCCAATAGGAATTGTCCAGGCTGTCTCTGCCCTGCTGAGCCCGCCAAAAGTCCCATTCTGCAAACGGTGCTGCACCAGTTGAGTAGTTCTCGACTTACGACCGGTTGAGTAGTCCTCGACTTATGACCAGTTGGGGGGTCACGGCATTAAAAAGGTTGAGAACCACTGATCTAGTACAAGGGTCCCCAACCCTCAGTCCATGGACCAGTACTAGGCTGCAGCATGCCAGCAACCAGGCTACACAAACAAGCAAGCCTCCTCCATGGAATGCAGGCAGCACACAAAACCATGAACTTTCCAGTCTGTGGAAAAACCTTTCTCCACGGAACCGGGCCCTGGTGCCCAAAAGGTTGGGGACCTCTGGTCTAGCAGCATCAGCTTCCTTGAATATTATCAAAAAACCAAAGACCTCAGAAATCTTAGTTTAATCATGTTGTTTTAGGACTCAAGCAGGAAAAGAGCCATTGGTGCTTCATTGCCTGGTTTACAGTAGCAGGTATGGACGGCTTACTGAGAACTGAATCTATACATGTGGGTGGGATGAGAGTCACAGGACTGTGGTAAGCCAAACAACAGTATATGTGTGTTTTGTGCTGCATATTATTTCAATGCAGCTAATATAATTTCTGAGTTATGATTTGTGGCTTAGCATGAAGACAGAGCTCAGCCAAGAGTGGCTATGGAAGAAAATTGTGGTTCAGCAAATTGTAGCTCAGCACGGATGTCTGAATTCAGTCACTGGGGAACTTGTATTTGTGAAAGGCAAACTGTGATAGCTTTTCAACTCATTGTTTGTTGCCGCAGTCCCCGAGAGAGGAAGGTACATCCGCAAACGGAAAGGACTTAAGCTTCTGGGGATCATCTGTGCCAAGGGGGAAGGGCAACCTTGCTTATCTGCATTCCTGATTTAGAGAGATTCAGATTTCTTCAGCACCATAGGGTTATATTACAGGAGTCATTAGGCCAACGGGGTATTATCATTATATTCCAGAGTGCTAAATGGGCTCCCTTCTATAAGAAAATAATCCCACACCCTTTCTCATCACCGCTCATCACAAATCCAGCAACATTTATTCTTCCCATCATTATGACCGAGAACACGGCCAGAACAATCATGATCAAATTATCTCTTTTTTAATGTCAAATTACTAGGATTCGGGAAGTGGAGACATGCTGCTTCTTGAGAAAGAAACTATGCTTAACTCTGTTCCTTTCTCTTTGATAACATAATGACATAGACTCAGAAGAGGAAAAAAAGCTCTTGCAATAACACTTTATAGTCATGGCAGAGAAACGTTGGTTTCTGCATGCCAAGTTGCTGGTGTAGAAATAAATTGAGGGGGGAAAGGGAGAAGGGGCCGAGAGAAAATTTATGAACATTTAGAATTTAGCTTAAATTCACATTGGCAGTGTTACAAAACCAAAACTATGCTCTTCCTAACCCCAGCTTTGTATGTGTGACACAGTGGTCCAATGGCTGCTTACATACCTCCCTCCCTAACATCCCTAATGAAATAAAAGGCAGGATATTAAATCCGGCTCTTACTAAACATCTGAACAAAAAAAAAAAAAAAGCAGTGGCTGATCTATGCTACTTTAAGAAAGGATAATCACAGCTTTTAAATATTTGATGTTATGATTCCCAGTTGGCAGACTGACACAACAAAGTACAGTACCGTATGGTCAACTCTGCACATGGATTTCTATTCTGGCAAAGTGCAATATTGGAGGTCAGAAAGTGAAGTTTCAAAAAAAAGGGGGGCAAAATTCATTTTTGATCAGAGGATCCAAAGGGAGATTGAGATTGGTACAATTTCATTTAATCTCCACCTCAAAATTAAGTTTATTGGCCTTCTGTTTATCAATGCACTCTAAGAAACAGATCATAATTAATCCATCCAAAAAAAATGGAGACAGAAATCAAAAAAATTAAAACCCCTGATTTCTGCAGTTTGGGGCTGAGAAATCTTTTAGGAAACTCTGGCAAAACGTTGCTGCCAACCAAGATAGAAGGCCTGGGATTTTATCTATTCAACATTATATGTTAATTGTACTAATCTTAGGACTCAGGGAAGTTGTACAACAAAAGAGAAATAAGACAAAAACAAACATCGTAAAGCAACATCAAACAATTATGTAAATATAAGAATGGGCACCCTCAGCAGATAACAGGAGCCAAAGCTGGTGGGATAATTTTAATGATCTTCTCGACTACCAGAACAGAAGGAATTATTCAAGCTTTGGGGGATAAAATGCTTCCTAATACAGAAGTTTATACAGTAAAGTCCTGCTGCCTTGTTCAGATGCTTTGGTTTTCAAAAGGAGGAGGGACCCGCAGCTGATTCTCTCGAACCAGAACTTAACTTTGGCAAGGAATATATTCAATTTATGTCCCACATTCATTCAGCTCAGGGTGGTATACTCCCCCCCCCAAAAAACCCCAGTCCAAAATAGGATAGAGAGAAACGAACTGGGCCAAGATCACCCAGTGAGCTTCTGTGGCTAAGGGAGACCTAAAAACCTGGATTCCCTACTCCAACTCTAACATCTCAAGCACTGTACAGTATCATCTTGGCTGTCAATGGGAAGATTGAAGTTAAACTGATTTGGGGAAGCTAGGCAGAGGTAAAAGAAGGCTTACATGAACCAATGATCTGATATACTGTATTTACCTCTTCAAAAAAAAAAACTTCATAGGGAATGAGATCCGACCATCAGGGTTTATACGAAGTGGATTTAATACCCATTCAAAGGTAGGCAAACTGCAAGGTCTTCCCAAACTCTAAGTTTGAGTAGAGAGAGGCATGTCACATCACCCGAGCCTACTTCCTCTGAAAGAAGGGAGCCCATTTGGAAGTTTACCCATCCTTCCATCTAGAAGGGAACCTCCGGGACTCACTTGTCCATAGAAACTGAGCCACACGCACATCGCCAAGTCCCTCAACCGCAACCCTTGTAGTGGGATCGATTGTCCTCGCAAAAAGGGGGTGAAACTATGGACCTCATCTGACCTAATACCCCCCCTCCCAAAAAAACCCCACCCCTGCCTATGTGGAAGACCCAGGCGTCGGTTGTCTGAAATTGTTATCAGCAAGTGTATGCGCTAATAGCATTTTAGCGTTACTTATCTGAGGAAAGGGGACCTGCTTCCAGTTAAGGCAGGATGATGCCGGACTGCAAAACTTTGAGCAGAACACAGTATTGTTTCATTGAGGGACGAAGCAAGAAACGAAGACTGAGTGGGTGGGTGGGAGGAGAGAGAGAGAGACCTTGCCACCTTCCTTCGGCTCTTTTTACCAAACTTGACCTCCAGACCCAGAGAGCACCTCTGCCCACTCAGCGGGGGCCAGAAGCGGAGCGAGCAGCGACAAGGAGCCGCCAGAAGTTAAAAAACAAAAACAAACAAACAAAAAAAAACCGCTGCGCGCGGCGCTCACCTCTCCTTCGGGAGACCGAGAGATGCCCTCCCGCCGCCGCTTCTCCCTTTTGCAGTAAATAGGCAGCGGATCGAGTTTCAATCCTGGGCACTTTTACCTTGGTTTAAGCCCCCTTCAGAGCGAAATTTCCTTCGGACCCTGCAAATTCAAGCTCAAGCTGCGAGGCGCGTCGGACCCAGCGCGCTTACCTGCCAGCGAACTTTTTTTCTTCTTGCGCGCTCGCCAAATCGAGCGGGAATTACGGTACCCGAGATGTCCTTTTCTGCTTTCGCAGCGGTGGTGCGAGTGGAGCCTCTGCCTCGCCAACAGCAGCAGCAGCAGCAGCAGGTGCCGGCCGCGCTCTGAAAGAGGCGGTGTTAATTCTAGAATAACCCCGCCCCTTGCTTTGCCTTGCCGGAGCCTCTGGCTACCGCCCCCCCTCCTCCCCAGTTGCTTTTTCGACCGTGTTGAGGTTCATCGGCAAAAGGCGGGGCTTGGACGCAACCTTAGCTGAAAGCCACGCCCCATATACTTCGAAGCTCCGCCCTAACGCCATGTGTGGTATAACGACGCGGCGGTGTTTTCGGCAAACGTCACGAGGAGCTGTCGGGTGATTCGGTTGAGAAATTTAAGTTTGCCTTTCTTGACGGAGTAATACGAAAGCGCTTCGTGATGGAGCCAGTTCGACATATTAGAGCAGTAACTTACGGGTTTTTTAAAAAATGACCCAAGGACGAAATCATCAAATGATTTTTCGTCCTATGGAATTATTAATTTATATGATTAGAATTCGTGAAGTTATTCTCCCAATGTTCCTTACAATAGTCAGTAGAACAGCATGTCCCTGCAATGTAAAAACCTTAATTATGACACAGATATGGATAAGAAAACATCAAAAGAGCATAGGTTATTGCAAAAAGGCGATTCTACAGTTAAAGTAAAATTTAGTTGAGCAACCTGGGCTGCTTGTAGCTCTGTTTTTGTTGCAACTACTAAGGGTAGCCTCCTATTACTAGTATGCTCCAGATCGACTGAGGCTACACCTCTGAACTCTTTGATATCCATGACTGGATCTGTCTTTTTCAACCTTAAGATGTGTGGCTGAGGAATTCTGGGAGTTGTAGTCCATACATCCTAAAATTGCCAAGGTTGAAAAACATTGAACTACTAGATTATAGATGACAGCTTTGATTTAGGATGCATAGAGCTAGTATATAGAAATTTGAACTATCACTAAATAAAACAAAGCAAGACAGAGAACTCTGTCTCTTGGATGCTATCAAGTGGCTATCAGAATTATTACAGCCCAGATCTTGTAGCCCTAGGCTACGGGTAGGCAACCTGAGCCTCTCCCTTTCCCCTCAGCATGGCTGGCTCAGGAATTCTGGGAGTTGAAGTCCACGAGTCATAAAAGAGCCAAGGTTGCCTACCCCTGCCCTAGGCATTTGATGCAACACCAACATGTTCTGAAGGACAGGAAGGAGAGGGGAGGATGTTTATGTAGTCTATAAGCATTCCATCCATCTCCAGGTTACCAGTTCGTTTAAAGGTCTACTTTGTTAGTGTTCCTCAGAACTCTTATCTTCTATTTCTGTTGCATATTAATCTGCTTTCCAAGTCAATGATCCTAGAAAGCCAGGGAGATAATCATGACAGAAATATGCAAGAACTGTTACCTAGGCAAACAGATTGAAACATTCCTTAAGTCCCAGAAAGCAAGATAGCATTTGGTAGAGACTCAGGCAAACGCCTCCCAGATTCTCCGAGGTACAATAGGGGAGGCACATTCCCAGCAGGCTTGCAAGATTTTGTTAGTATAGCCTATTTCAATAAAGTGTCATTTTGGACTTCTCGTAGAGTTGTTTTTCTGGTCAGGTTTACCTACTGGCCCTGACAACAGGAGATCTTTCCTGGATGCTTCACTCGTATTTTTTTTTTTTTTTTTTTGGTTTGTTTGCTTTACCATTTTGTAGGAAGTCAGCCACCCCCCCCCACCAGAGAATGAAATATTTTGGGGAATATTAAAAAAAGCAGGATAGAATATTTCCCCAAAGGAAAAATGGAGAAAAATCTTAACAAAGGCCGAAAGCAGCCCCCGTCTTTCTTAATAGCCTCAAGTTTTTAGAGATAGGTATTTTGCATCTATTAAGAAAGACTGGGCCAATTAATCTTTAAGCAATATGCCTTCAGCCCCCACAGCTGATGGGATTAATTCCAAGGACAGGACATGGCCTTTAGAACATAATCTTGCTGACTTTGGAAGGATGGAAGGCTGAATCAATCATGAATCCCGTTAGCATCAAACCAGCCTATAGGCAGAGTTTGCCTGCAATACTGCATTCAACCCACCAACAGAACAATGATTTAGGAATGTGTGAAATATTCTGTGTATAGGGCCATTTCATGTATGGAAGAGTTGGCCTGGGTAATCCATGTCTCAATCCAACCATACTTAATTTGTCTGGGCATAGTGCTGAGGCATAATGTGTTGTCTCAACAGTAGCATTTTCGAATAGGGACAACATTAAAAAAGATAAGGAGATCTCCAGTAGTACAGATTGAGAAAGTAAAACAAGAAAGAAGCTGGAACAGATGGAAGAGGTGGTTGGTGTGCCATGCTTGAACTCAACTTTTCCAGTGAGGTGGGCCTGGAGTATTTTTTTTTAAAAAAAGTTTACAGATACTTTAGAAACTGCTGGTTTTAGTGAAATTTTATCTCCTGTTTACCGCGATCATTCTTGATGTAGCTGTATGAAATGCTGTTCTTCTTTTTAAAAATGTATATTACTTTTTAATGTTGTTTTGGTGGGAATTTTTATTCTACATTGTATTCACATTAGTATATTCTTAATACATGTTTATACTCATTGCCCTCAAGAGTACAGCTGATGTGGTCTTTAAAAATGTTATTAATAAAGAAATTCCAAGAATTCTGAACTATTTGATAAAATGATATAACATGTGCAGGCATGAGATTGAGAAAGATTGTCTCATAGTCTTGAGTAACTAAGGATGTTGCCCTGAAGGTATTAGTAGGGAACAGACCCCATAAACAAAGAGGAACTTTATTTTAAAGAAAATATGCATAAAATTGTAGTCTGCACATCACATTCACATTCATAGAATTTCCCTAGGCTTGGATGAGAAACTGCTAATGCTCATGAGTAGAAATTTCTTTACTTTCATACGGATTCCAAAATGCTAGGTGAGCATCAGCCCTGAGCCACAGGACCAATCATAGAATTTTAAGGAATCATTTTATCACCAAATTCAATCCCATGTTTGATGCAGAAATCCAAATTCAAGTTTCCTTGACAGGCAGCAGATTTGTTCAGCTTCTTCTAAATACTGTGTATGTAGCACAGAGGAACTAATCACTCATCCCTTTCTGAGTAATTCGTTCCTTTATGAAACTTTTGTTGTTGTTAGGAAGTTTTTCATAATTTTCAAACAGAATTTGCCATCCTATAACTTTGAGGCCATTATTCTGTATCGTCCACTCAGAAATAATAGAAAACAGATGGTTAACATATTCTTTTGGTACTTTGTTGTTATTAGTTGTGAAGTCATGTCCGACCCATCACAACCCCATAGACAACATTCCTCCAGGTCTTCCTGTCCTCTACCATCTTCTGGAGTCCATTTAAGCTCATGCCTACTGCTTCAGTGACTCCATCCAGCCACCTCATTCTCTGTCGTCCCCTTCTTCTGTTGCCTCAATCTTCCCAGCATTAGGCCCTTTTCCAGTGAGTCCTTCCTTCTCATTAGGTGGCCAAAGTATTTGAGTTTCAACTTCAGGATCTGGCCTTCTAAAGAGCAGTCGGGATTGATCTCTTCTAGGACTGACCAGTTTGAACGCCTTGCAGTCCAAGGGACTCGCAGGAGTCTTCTCCAGCACCATAGCTCAGCTTTCTTATGGTCCAACTTTCACATTGCAAATACATTGCAAATTTCACAACACATACATTGCAAATTTCGGTACTGAAAACATGCTAATATATCTTTGCCATGCTTTTCTCAGGGCTACCTATTCAGTCCCCTCACTTCTCATAAGATTTAGTTTTCAGTGTTGTGAACAACACAGCTTGCGTTTCTCCAGTGCCTGATTTATAGAGACATTCATACTAGCCTCATCTCATCTTTACTGCACAAATACCCAGGGTGCACAGGACAATTTTACATTTCTGTTCTGTTTTCAGATAATGACCGATTCTCCCAGGAGTTTGAGAAGTGCTGAGAGTGAGTTGGATGGCCATGTAAATGATCATAAATATTAATCAGATCTATAAGCTAGATTTAATTAGCACCTAGTTCACCATATTAGAGTGCTTTGTAACTTGCCATGGTCTTACACACACTAATTTTTCATGCACCCCTTTACTTTATTGTTAGAAGGTTGCAAAAGATGATCACATGACCCTAGGACACTGCAACCATCATAAATACATGCCAGTTGCCAAGTGCCCACAGTTTTGGTCATGTGACCAAGGGGATGGTGTAAGTGTGAAAACTAGTCATGTTACTTTGTTCAGTGCCGCTGTAACTTCAAACAGTCACTAAACAAATGGCTATAAGTCAAGGACTACAGTACTTCTACATTTGTCATTTTCACTGTAACCACTATGCTGTTTCACCTTTTATGGTGAAAACATCTGAAGAAGCCTTTTCTTATTGTTTTTAGCATTCTTCACCAATTTCAATTTATTCTGAGGTTTCATTTTCCTAAAATATTTCTTCCAAAATGAGTACTTGTAATTGCATTTCTTTAGTCACTTGCCCTCATCCATTTTCTTATTTATTGCAATTATTAAAGTATTCAGCGATAAAGAAGGAGCTGTGGTGGCACAGTGGTTAGAATGCAATATTGCAGACTAACTCTGGTCACAGCTAGGAGTTCGATTCCCACCGGCTCAAGGTCGACTCAGCCTTCCATCCTTCCGAGGTTGGTAAATGAAGACCCAGATTGTTGGGGTAATATGCTAACACTGTAAATTGCTCAGAACAGGCTGTAAAGCACTATGGAGCGGTATATAAGTCTAAGTGTTAAGTCCTATTCAATACGTTCTTTTTAGGAACTCCTTGGAATCATTTACCCATTACTTTCCCCTACATTAGGTCCCTACTTATAATTGTTCAGCTTATTAAAACTGCCTTCTTGAACTCCAAGGTACTTACAGTTTTAATTTCCATTAATACCAAGAATTCCAGCATTGCACAATAACTTTCTGCCCATGTCCCCATTACTTCCAATATATGCACTTAGACAGTGGTGGCGAACCTATGGCACGGGTGCCAGAGGCGGCACTCAGAGCCCTCTCTGTGGGCACCCGTGCCGTCGCCCCCAGTTCTAGGCCTTCAGCTGGGTTTTATAAAATCTTTTTGCTTTAGGCCTCCACTG